CCTCGCTACCTCAACGAAATAGGATTTTCGAGATTGAACGCTTTACCTTATTTTGCTTGTTAATTATGTTTTTTAGGTAATTTGCCCCCCCCTCCCCCCGCCCCCTCACTTTAAAAAGCCATATTACATATGTATCTGCATATTATAATTTTAAATTGTTAACTCCTTTATATGCGTTTTACTTATTTAAAATAATCTACACTATACAGACAGAAATTAAGCTTAAATTCACATAAGTAAAACGACTGTATAATTTTACTAAATTTTCATGGATACATGTATTTATGTAATCACTACACGTTGTTCAAAATTTAAGACTACATGTACTACTTTTTCACATTAATAGTTATTTCAAAAAATGATATATTCTTTTCAATATTAAAATGAAAATTAGGCAAATATTTGCTCGTTTTTTTTTCACTGTTTATTTCTAAAAATGTATCGGGCAAATTCCACAACTCAGATGACAGCAACATTGCTTCAAAATCTCTGTATGAATTGCTAATAACCTTCAATCAAAAGGTATTATTGATGTGTCAAATAACAGTTACTATAAATCGATTAGCGTACAGGTGTCTTTCATTCCAGAACCAGCAGGGAGGAATCTCTCGATATGAAAAGGTCACGCATCCACATCCTTTATTATTACCAAAGTACACACAGTGGGTGTTGAAGGAGAAGAGTTTGATTTGTTGTTAACTCTCCTGTATTACTAGTACTTCACGCTGTTTTTTATTTATTTGCCTTTACTATGATAATATCATTGTTTTGAACTTTCAAAAGATATTGCTATATAGAGGAATGACATAAAAACACGCAACTGATAATATATGTGCACCCCCCTTTTTACGTTATCTATACATGTGTAGAATGTTTTTATTCGGGGGGGGGGGGTGATTTACTAAGTACATTGTATATGCATATTGTGTGCCTGTCAATTTTTACATGCATAAAACACGTTGTGCATATTCTTGAGAGTCTAGCATAATTCTGAAAGACTGAATCTTTTTTAAAAGATTAATATTGTTAACACATTACTCATCCTCTTGTTTTATAACGTTTCAAGCATCTAAACCACACTGAGCTGTTCTCTAATGAATATTAATGAAATGTGCGCAATGAAGATGCGTCGTATATTATGTCGATGTTGTATTCTCACTTGTGCAGTTTTCGTTTTTACGTTTGTGTAATTTTCTCATTATATCGTGTAAATATTATGTTGATTGTGTAGTTTTTGTATAGTTTGTGTAAATTTCAATAACTTTGTGTGTATTTTTCACAATTTGTGTAAGTTTTGACTTACTCGTGTAATTTTTGTTTAAGATCGTGCAGGAAATACTTTTGAACCAATCGGCGTGCCATAAACGAGCACCTGCTAAAGATTCTAAAGATTCATCTATAGATGCAAAGTATTGGAAATGTATCCTTAAATTCTTCGTTTGAGCATTTAAACGACGATAATCAATGCAGAATCTTATACTGCCGTCTCGTTTAGTTGTCAAACAAATAGGTGAAGCATGATGTCTCAATGTTGTTATTTTCAAGCATATTCTGAATTTCACGTTCAACTATTTCCCTATGGGATATAGGAATTCTTCTAGGGGTATTTTGAATGGTTCTGAGTCCCCAATTTCTATTTTGTGTTCAACTAAATAGATTCTTTCCATTGGTTCCCCTGGACCAACGAAATTATCGTGATATTTTTTTTAAACGATTGCGAATGGCTAATTTTTGAGATTCATTAAATTTTTCAGAAGTTCGCTGCATAATTTCTTCTAAATGCTCTGGAAGATTTGAAGAATATATAATTTCTTCTTGGTCAAATGTTCACGTTCGCTACAGGGAAAATGACTTCTTTATGTTGTGAGGTTACCAAAGACTTGCACATAAAATTTATTTTGTACAACTTTAGAGGGCTTTAGCAGACCTTCGTCATCCCTATATTCACCATCAATATATCCTTGTTTTAACAATTCACTATTAATAGAAATCGACTCTTATTCTAGCACACGAATGAACACGACTTACACTAAGGTTTAGACGGACAGAATCCTTGCCTATCTTGAGTTTTCGACTCTTCGTTATTAGTATACTGCAGATTTCTGACTCAGAAAGTCAATTCCCAAGATACCCTGAAGTCGATCATTTAGTCTAACAACTAGAACATGATTGTACGTGTGTTTGCCAATTTTTATTCTAAAGCTAGATTTCCCTGTAACAGTCAAAGCACTATCCCCAGCCGAGGTCAGTGTGGTTTCAACACTGCGTAGCTCGGGTTTCCTATCTCCTAATTTTATAAAATATTCTTCTGATATAAGGGTGATGTGTGATCCCGTAACCCGTGTCTACTAAAAAATCGTTTCTAAGAAAATGACAATTTCTTGACTACCAAGCCAATATATGAATTGGTCAATGATGTAAATTTCTTTAGCATCATATGGGATCCCAAGAAAAGCCAAACATCCCAATCTACGAAGGGCATACCCTAATCTGTGGCAGATTCATTTTTATCTCCCCTACGATTTCGAAATTCAGATCTAAAGGCCGATTCTTGACCTTGAAGATGGAACATTTGTTCCAGAGCGAATATGATTTCGTGATAATTTTTGGCTTGATTCGAATCGCTTTAAGGTTGGTCCCTACTCAAACGCGTCATCACAATTTACCGGATATGATTATCGATACGAAATGTTAAAACCAAATCCGTCTTTACAAGTTCTACCGGGTTAGTACCATTATAATAATAATAATAATAATAATAATAATAATAATACTTTATTTAAAGAAGGTAACCTGATTAGTGCAACCACTATTCTTCCCCAGGGCCTTCTGACAATTAACAATATGAAGATACATAGTTATACACATACAGACATATTATAAATATATACATAAATATACAAATACAAATAAACATGAATCACAAATTAATCTGACATTGTTTAACATATTGTTTTGCTTATCTCTTGAAAGAATTAAGTGTTGGTGACATTTTTATGTGCATCGGTAAAGCATTCCATAAAATGGCACCAGAGTACTGGAAGGAATTTTCAAAAAGTTTACATTTATGAATTGGCACACACAAATCAACATTAGATTCAGATCGAAGGGTATATTGGTTATTAGTGTGAAATTGAAACATTTCATGTAAATAAGTAGGACAGTAATTAAAGAGGGATTTATATAACAATACATATTTATTTACAGTAAGCTGTTCATAAACAGTAAGCCAATCAAGTTCATCAAAAAGGGGTCGTGAGGGTGCATCAGGGGGCGCATCTAAAATATACCTTGCAGCACGTTTTTGAAGTTTATGAACTCTGTCAAGATTTGATCTGGATGTATTTCCCCAATTGTTAGGCAGTAATCAATGGTAGGCATGATGTAAGCATTATAAAACAACTTGCGTGTTTGAAGGGGAAGATATTTTTTAATTCTACGGAGTGCAGACATTTTACGTGACAGAGTTTTACATACATGGTCGATATGTACATTGTATTGTAAAGAATTATCTAAATATACCCCAAGATTTTTTTCATATGTTACATTGTCTAATTTCTGGTTCGAAACGTATAAAGGAAAATCATGGTCTAAGAATTTTGATCTCTTCTGATGAGTCCCTATTAACATGCATTTAGTTTTTGAGGCATTAAGTATCATTTGATTTTGAAAGCACCATTTTTCTATACAAGCAATATCCATTGATAATGAATTTACTATAGATTGGGGATCTTTGCCGGGGACATGTAAAGTGGCATCATCGGCAAACAAATCTATGTTTGAATTTTTGATATAAAGTGGAAGATCATTAATGTACAGTAAAAACAAAAGAGGTCCTAGTATAGACCCCTGTGGAACTCCCGCTGTGACTTGCTGATAAGATGATTTTTTGTTAGACAGATGGACACTTTGAAGTCTGTCACTTAAATATGATCGAAACCAGTGTAAAGTTATTTCATTAAAATTATAACACTCTAGCTTTTTAAGAAGAATTTCATGATTTACTAAGTCAAAAGCCTTACTGAAGTCGAGAAAGACAGTACCAACAAGTTTGCCTTGGTCCATTTCATATAACCATTTATCTGTAATGTTTGTAAGGGCTGTTTGACATGAGTGCAATTCTCTGAAACCTGATTGAGATTCTATTAAAAGATCAAATTCTGAAAATAGTAATCGTACATATTTTGCCACATGTTTTTCTATAATTTTTGATAATGTCGGTAAAATAGAAATGGGTCTGTAGTTATTTGGATCTAGCTTGTTTCCCTTTTTATAGATAGGTGTAACTTTGGCAAGTTTAAACGTTTTCGGGAAAATACCTGATGTGATACTAGTATTTATTATATGGGTTACAGGTTTATGTATTATCTGTGCAGTAAGTTTTAATAAACGTGGACCGATGGTATCTACACCTGATGATTTATTAATATCTAGTTTGTTTAGTGAGGAAAGCACTTCATCAGGGCTAATAAGCGGGATAGAAAACATTTCTGTTCCCAATTTAGACTGTACAAAATTTGAAAGGCCATCGAAATCACACTCTTCTTTATTTACTCCTTCAAGGAGGTTTAGGTATTATATAGCGCTGAGCATTTCCAGTTGGCACTTTTAAGATTACGTTCTTGTTTACGGGATGCCAGGGTTTAAAGGCACGTTTGTTAAAGACTTTCTGGTTAGAAAAATTGAAGGATTAGATGAAGGAAGAAGCAATCGAATAAACAAAACAGATTTATAACATGTGACGAAACAAGTGGTGTGCCAGTAAGTGACTTAGATTACAGTTATCATTATCATACAGTTATGCCTGTGACGGTGAGAACTTCATGTCGTTAGAGAAGAAGAGACATTCGGTTTAGGATATGAGAAAATGAATCAGTGGAGAGTGGGCAGACGTGTAGTTGAGCTTGGGGGTTCTTGCGGATGGTCTAAGCAGTTGTCAATTATGCGGACAGCCACTGCAATTGTAGGGGAACACAAAACTCGGCCTTGCACGTGTAGCCCTACTACTTGTCAAGTGCAGATTTACAGACTGTGGGCTAGTACTGAAATGGCAACAGGAAGCAAACACCAGACTTCAAATGGCAGAAATGCATGGGATGTAAATACCAAACTAGCAGCAGGTAATCTGTATTTCATTACCTGGTTTATTCACATATTCAAATTGGATCATATGGGTTATTTAATTTTAACAGTAATAGTCAGTATATAAACATGATATATGTGACTTTCTTTTTTGTTAAAAGCACCTTTATTCTCAAACATACATATGCAAACAAGTGTACCTTATTATACACACATACACATGTAGAAAATAAACAAGGAAAATCATGTCATATATTCACTTTCCGTGTTGACTTGTTTATAAGTTTGAGAACTCATTTCAGGAATAATAAATGGAGGATTTGCCGATTTGGTGAAACACATGTAAATTCACTCCTGGCTGCTTTAAACATACCCAGCGTTGCTCAAATAACTCTGAAGAATAGAAGAAGAGAGGTCAGGCAACAATTTGGACAAATGGCAGGGGAAACTTGTAATGAAAGTCTGCAGGAGGAGATGAGATTGTAATTGTTATATTCCATTTTCTAGCAATACATGACCTACTTATATTTTAATTTGCAATTATTTTTTACAAAATTGTGTCGTTAATTAAAAGTATTATTGTTTAGGAGTGAAGGGAGTCTGGCAGTTATATCTGATGGTGCTTGGCAGATTCGGGGTACCGGGAGAGCTTATAATAGTCTTACAGGTAAATGTACCAAGTATCAAAACCTATACATTGTAGAGACTAATTTGACACATGGACAATGGTGGTCCTCTGCTTTAGAGAAATCAATTTTTCTAGTTTTTGAATATGTTTGAATAATTAATGTTTTACATTACCCCTCTCTTGTGTCTAACCATGGTCTCAAGCCATAGTCCGAAGTCCGCATATAGCTATCTCCTACTCGTGGCTGCTTGATCACTATAAAGTTTCGTAATCTTGAATATTTATCTCTATTGCGACATCGTATTCAGTCAATGACAATTTTTGTTTCCATTGCAATTGAAATCAACAATTGATATCAGCAGTATATACAAAAAAATATTCCATTCACTATGATTGGGTATTGAAAGAATGCATCAGAGTTCATCATCTGACTATGCTTTACTCGTATTAGTCAATATTTTAATGAGCTGCCAGTTTATATTCTCTTCTTGTTCAACCACTGCCAAAATGGGAGAGGACTGTACATTTTGGCCGTGGTCTGTGATGACGATGTCTAACTTATATATTGGAATACAGATATCTTTATTCTTACAGGACTTGCCTCTCTGTTGGAGAAAAATCGAAGAAAATAGTCGGTTTTTCAGTAATGGGAAAAAAAGTATGGTATTTGCAGCTGCCAAATTAAAGAGTAATCCTCCCAGGCAACACAAGTGCTGTAAGAACTCAACTGGATCGGCGAAGGCTATGGAGCCTCAGCCTGCCATGGCCTGTGAGATGTTGGAGAAGATCAAGGATGTAGGGGGAAAGGTAAGTACATCCAGAACAAAAACAATCCAACAATTTTTTAAAAAACTAATTGTACAATCAAATCAGTCAAACATAGAAATTTTATTTGTGTACAACATATTAAAATTTTTTAGGTAGATACTGTGATTATGGACAACGACTCAACTACTATGGCAAGAGTAAAAGATAATGTTGATCCCAATACGAGCAAAAGATCCAACAGTAATCACACGAAGAAGGGATTTACGGGTGCATTAGTAGAACTGAGCAGCAAGCATAAAGTTTTAAGTTGTAACATAACTTTATCTATGTCCTATGCTGGTATTACTGAATTAAAAGCAGTATTAAATTGTTTGTATTTGAGTGCATGCCTGAAAAGAAGAATGTTACATTGGTTTAGCCATATTTGTACATGTACGGACATGTTTCATTTATTGATGAGTTATCAAAAAATGCATTTAAATGATTTTTTTTTAGACAAATTTACTTGTTATGTTTTATAATGCATGAAAATGATATTTGAGTGTGATTTTTCTTTCAAATATATTTGTTACTGGTATTTTTGAGTTGAATTTGTTTGATCGGCAAGGGGGTATACATGATCTAGAAGGTGTAGAAAAATAAAAAGCCTGAAAAGTACTAATTTTTTTTGGATTTTTAGTTGCAACAGATATAAATCTAGTATTTTAAATGAAAAAAGAATGTGTTTATCCATTACTTTATGAAAAAAATTGTAAAAATGACGATATTGTAAAAAATTTTAAAGCACCAAATTGATATCGTATTCCAAAAAAAAGTTATAAAATAAATATTCATATATGAGACTGTTTATGCCTTTCCTACATATTAATGAATAAGTAAATATATTTGAAAGTAATTTTGCTTTGATATTGCTTTTGATATGAGCCATATATTGAGCTTGGATGAAATAGTGTTGTGAAAAAGGGGGTATACGTCATCGAGGCACTCTAATTTGAAAAATAACATGAAAAGTTATTTATTTTATATGCTTTTTATTTAGATTAAGTGTTATTCTAATGATTTCAAAAGAAAAAATTCCATTTAAACCATTAAATCTCCTGAGTAGGGACCTACCTTAAGTAGATTTTGAGTATTTCCCCGCAATGACATGCATAATTGTAGGGTTATTTCAAATTTGTTTCATAGATTCCAGGAAGCAACCTGTTCGAAATGTGTAGTCTTTGAAATCCGTAGATTTCCCATCATACATGTACATATAAGTGTCAGGTTCTTTTGGTTTTCGTTTGAATTTAACAGAACTCTGAAGATCTCCGCTACCTAAGTCGGACTGGCTGATTGGGTTTGAATTACTAGTATGCAAACTTTGCGGGGTTTCATGCAGGTATACTCACCGTCAATAGAAACGCAATACCCTAATTTTAGGTTGAAAATTATATACGGGATATAACTATGTACCAAAAAAGTTAGGACAACTTTTACTTTGCCAAATCAATTATTTAACGGTTGAATGAATTTCTTTCCACTACCGGAAGTTGCTTTTTAGCCCTTTTAACAGAAATCAAAATTTTGCATTTTAAATAAAAATTTTAACAATATTTTGGGTTTTCAAGGTGTTGTAGCTGTTAATCATAAGTATTGTACTAAAATGCCGGGGGAAAATCCTTCTTTCTTTACCGGATGTGATGCCTATATTTCCTCAAAATGATTGATTTTCATTGCTTATGCTGGAAATTCACAAAATAAAGAAAAAAAGAGATGCAAATGCACACTATATATCGACTCATCAGGCTCATGTGTTTCAATAGCATAAATAACAGTTTCTTGAACGGAAGTTCAAAAGTTGCTACACTACGCCAAGTTAGAGAAAATTCGACCGCAGTATCTGAAAAACATGCATTTAAAAATGCCCAAGAATATTAATTTCGCTCAGATTAAGACATTAATAAACCAAATGCATGGTAGAAATCGGGCTTCATTTGTTGTATATGGCGGACTAGCACGTTTTAATTAAATGGTCAGAAGACGGGATGTTTTAAGATTTACCGGGTATTTAATTGTTTCTTTCTAAGATCTAAAAATAACATTTAATGTTTAAATGAAGCATTAATTTTTTGTAAATTTACTTTTTACCTAAACATATTCATTTTTAATGTTATCATTAAACTTTAGGAGGTAACACATAACTCTTAAAACGCCCCCCCCCTTCTTGCTATCAGTCATTTTGAGGAAATATAAGCATCATATCCGGTTAAGAAATAAGGATTTTTCCCCGGCATTTTAGTACGGTACTTATGATTAACAGCTTCAAAACCTTGAAAACCCAAAATATGTTAAAATTTTATTAAAAATGCAAAATTTTGACTTCTGTTAAGAGGGCTAAAAAGCAACTTCCGGTAGTGGAAAGAATTTCATTCAACCGTTAAATATCTGATTTGGCAAAGTAAAAGATGTCCAAACTTTTTCGGTACATAGTTATAACCTGTATATAATTTTCATCCTAAAATTAGGGTGTTGCGTTTCTATTGACGGTGAGTATCATTGACCTGAGCATGGTCTACTAGTATCCTACCCCAACTATTTACATTAGGTAATTCAAGTGATGAGGTTTCCGGTACATAATGGGGTTGCATAAATCGCACATGTCCTTTAGGAGTGCTAGTACACACCGAGGTGTAAATTACCTTGATCAGTGTGGTCACTGAAGCCCTCAGGTGTGTCACTTACATCTGATCGCACAGATAGCTAGTGCGTCGATGTGAGTATTCACTGAGTCGAGTTCGACAGGTGTCTCATTGTGTGATTTGATTAAATTTTCCCGATAAATTCTAAGGTTTCATTTGTATGATAACCCGAAATTGTGCCAAGAGTTTCATTGCGTCTGACAAAATTATTGTCAGCTGTACGGCCTGACTGGCTTTGTTCTAAGTCTTGAATTTTAAGTGTTAAATTTTCTATATCTTGTTAATTTTTCTGAATTTTTGACTGAAGAAACCGTATAAAACTTTCCTCATTCCATAGACAAACTGATCCGGTCGCGGCAACCAAAAACGTAATATGCAGGAACAGTGTTCTTATCGATATAGTCAAACCAGGTTCATTGTTTACTTTCAGATCGTCTATGATAACTTCAAAATGAAAAGAAAGATGACGAGGCAATCAGAAGTTGGAAGGTTATTCCCTATTCGCTATTGACTATTCGAATGGCGATCCCGGTTCCCTATTCAAATTACCGTAAATGTCCTAATAATTTTTTTTTCAAAAAACTTTAATAACCCATTATAAACCGTGTTAAAGAAGAAGAGCAAACACATCACTTAAAGAAGAAGAGTGAGGACCCCAAACCAATGCAGCTAGCCTGACCAAAATGAGAATATTTAGCTAGCCCGGTCAAAATTGGAAAAACAACCCGTTTAATACTATAAGTATTTGTACATAAGAGTACATTACCCGAGGGGCTTGCTAAGATCCTGGATCCAATATTTACACATTCATATTTTTACAGGGGAAGGATATGGGAGAGACCTTTCAAGTTTCAAAAGGATGCTATGTTACAATACCTGGAACTTATTTAGCTAGTCCGGTCAAAATTGGAGAAAAAAACGTATAATACTATTATAAGAGTACACTGCCCGGGGGCTGACTAACATCCTGGATCCTATATTAAGGCCTTCATATTTTTACAACGGAGGGGTATGGGAAAGACCTTTCGACTGTCAAAAGGAATTTATGTTACAAGACCAGAAACCTATTTAGCTAGCCCGGTCAAAATTGGAAAAAAAAAACGTATAATGCTATCATAAGTAGAGTACATTGCCCGGGGGGCTGGCCAACATCCTGGACCCAATACTTAGACATTCATATTTTTACAGGGGAGGGGACCCTTCGACTGTCAAAAGGAATTTATGTTACAAGACCGGGAACCAACCGGGAATTATAATAAGTATTTGTAAGAGTAATAAGAGTACATTGCCCGAGAGGCTGGCTAACATCCTGGATCCCATATTAAGACCTTCACATTTTTACAGGGGATGGGTATGGTATAGGGACCCTTAGACAGTCAAAAGGAATTTGTGTAACAAAACCGGGAACCTATTTAGCTAGCCCAGTCACAATTTGAAAAATACCAGTTTAATACTATTATAAGTAGAGTACATTGCCCTGGGGGTTGGCTAACATCCCCTATTTAGACCTTCATATTTTTACAGGGGAGGGGTATGGGATAGACTCGTCCACTGTCAAAAGGAATTTATGTTACAAGACCGGGAACCTGTTTAGCTAGCCCTGATCAAATTGAAAAAAAAGTATAATACTATTATAAGTATTTGTACATAAGAGTACATTGCCCCGGGGCTGGCTAACATCCTGGATCCTATATTTAGACCTTCATATTTTTACAGCGGAGGGGTATGGAAGGGATCCTTCCACTGTAAAAAGGAATTTATGTTACACGACCGAGAACCTTTTTAGCTAGCCCGGATAAAATTGGAAAAAACACGTATAATACTATTATAAGTATTTGTAGATAAGAGTACATTGCGGGCAATGTCTCTAATTCAGAAATACATATAATAGTATTATATGGGGTTTTTCCAATTTTATCCGGGCTAGCTAAAAAGGTTTTCCGTATTTTAACACAAATTCCTTTTGACAGTGGAAGGGTCCCTCCCATAACCCTTCCCTGTAAAAATATGAAGGTCTAAATATGGGATCCAGGATGTTAGCCAGCCCCGGGGCAATGTACTCTACTTATAATAGCATTATACGGGTTTTTCCCAATTTTGACCGGGCTAGCTAAATAGGTTCCCGGTCTTGTAACATAAAATTTTTTTGACAGTGAAAGGTTCCTTCTCATACCCCTCCCCTGTAAAATTTGAAGGTCTAAATATGGTATCCAGGTTGTTAGCCAGCCCCCCCCCCCCCCCCCCCCCCCCCAGGAAATGTATTCTTATTCAGAAATAGATATAATAGAATTATAAGGTTTTTTTTTTTCAATTTTGACCGGGCTAGCTAAATAAGTTTATGGTCTTGTAACATAAATTCCTTTTGACTGTGGAAGGTTCCTTCCCATACCCCTGCCTTATAAAAATATGAAGGTCTAAATATGGGATCCAGGATGTTAGCCAGCCCCCGGGCAATGTACTCTTATTCAGAAATACATATAACAGAATTATAAGGGTCTTTTTCCAATTTTTACCGGGCTAGCTAAATAGGGTCCCGGTATTGTAACATTAATTTCTTTTGATAGTGGAAGGGTCCCATCAATACCGCTCTCCTGTAAAAATATGAAGGTCTAAATATGGGATCCAGGATGTTAGCCAGCCCTTCGCGCAATGTCGTCTCATTCAGAAATACATATAATAGCATCATATGGGGTTTTCCCAATTTTATCCGAGCTAGCTAAATAGGTTTCCGGTCTTGTAACATAAATTCCTTTTGACAGTGGAAGGGTCGCTCCCATACCCCTCCCCTGTAAAAATATGAAGGTCTAAATATGGGATCCAGGATGTTTGCTAGCCCCCCGGGCAATGTACTCTACCTATAATAGCATTATACGTTTTTTTTTTCCAATTTTGACCGGGCTACATGTAGCTAAATAGGTTTTCGGTAATGTAACACAAATTCCTTTTGACTTTGGAAGGGTCCCTCCCATACCTCTCCCCTGTAAAAATATGAAGGACTAAATATGGGATCCAGGATGTTAGCCAGCCCCCCGGGCAATGCACTCTACTTATAATAGGAATATACGTTTTTTTTTTCAATTTTGACCGGGCTAGCTAAATAGGTTCCCGGTCTTGTATCATAAATTGCTTTTGACAGTGGAAAGGTCCCTTCCATACCCGTCCCCTATAAAAATATTAAGGTCTAGATATGGGATCCAGGATGTACATGTAAGCCAGCCCCCCGGGAATGTACTCTTATTCAGAAATACATATAATAGAATTATAAGGTTTTATTTCCAATTTTGACCGGGCAAGCTAAAAAGGTTTTCGGACTTGTAACATGAATTCCTTTTGACAGTGGAAGAGTCCCTCTCATACTTCTCCCCTGTAAAAATATGAAGGCCTAGATATGGGATCCAGGATGTTAGCCAGCCCCCCGGGCAATGTACTCTTATTCAGAAATACATATAACAGAATTAAAAGGGGTTTTTTTTTCAATTTTGACCGGGCTAGCTAAATAGGTTTCCGGTCTTGTAACATAAATTCCTTTTGACAGTGAATAGTCCCTCCCATACCCATCCCCTGTAAAAATATGAAGGTCTAAATATGGGATCCAGGATGTTAGCCAGCCCCCCGGGCAATGTACTCTACTTATTATAGCATTATACGTTTTTTTTCCAATTTTGACCGGGTTAGCTAAATAGGTTTTTGGTAATGTAACACAAATTCCTTTTGACAGTGGAAGAGTCCTTCCCGTACCTCTCCCCTGTAAAAATATGAAGGACTAAATATGGAATCCAGGATGTTAGCCAGCCCCCAGGGCAATGTACTCTACTTATAATAGCATTATACGGGTTTTTTTTCAGAATTTTGACTGGGCTAGCTAAATAGGTTTCCGGTCTTGTAACATAAATTCCTTTTTACAGTGGAAGGATCCCTCCCATACCCCTCCCCTGTAAAATTTGAAGGTCTAAATATGGTATCCAGGTTGTTAGCCAACCCCCTAGGAAATGTACTCTTATTCAGAAATAGATATAATAGAATTATAAGGTTTTTTTTTCAATTCTGACCGGGCTAGATAATAGGTTCCCGGTCTTGTAACACAAATTTCTTTTGACAGTGGAAGTGTCTCTCTCATACCCCTCCCCTGTAAAAAATATGAAGGTCTAAATATGGGATCCAGGATGTTAGCCAGCCCCCCGGGCAGTGTACTCTACTTATAATAGCAATATACGGGTTTTTTCCAATTTTGACTGGGCTAGCTAAATAGGTTTCCGGTCTTGTAACATAAATTTCTTTTGCCAGTGGAAGGGTCCCTCCCATACCCCTACCCTCTAGAAATATGAAGGTCTAAATATTTGATCCAGGATGTAAGCCATCCCCCCGGGCAATGTACCCTTATTCAGAAATACATATAACAGAATTATAAGGGTTTTTTTTTCAATTTTGACCGGGCTAGCTAAATAGGTTTCCGGTCTTGTAACATAAATTCCTTTTACAGTGGAAGGTTCCCTCCCATACCCCTCTCCTGTAAAAATATGAAGGTCTAAATATGGGACCCAGGATGTTAGCCAGCCCCCCGGGCAATGAACTCTTATAATAGTATTATACGGGGTTTTTTTTTTGCAATTTTGACCGGGCTAGCTAAAAAGGTTTCCGGTTGTGTAACATAAACTCCTTTTTATATTTGAAAGGTCTCTCCCAGACCCCTCCCCTGTAAAAATATGAAGGTGTAAATATGGGATCAAGTTTGTTAGCCAGTCCCCCTGGTAATGCATTCTAATGTACAAATACGTTTTTTTCCAATTTTGACCGGGCTAGCTAAATATTCATCATTTTGGTCAGGCTAGCTGCATTGGTTTGGGGTCCTCACTCTTCTTCTTTAAGTGATGTGTTTGCTCTTCTTCTTAAACACGGTTTATAATGGGTTATTAAAGTTTTTTGAAAAAAAAATTATTAGGACATTTACGGTAATTTTAATAGGGAACCAGAATACAGCCTGCGGTTCGCCATTCGAAGTCAATAGCGAATAGGGAATAACCTTCCAACTTCTGATTGCCAGATGACGAAGGCTTATAATTTATTATAACATTAAATAATAGTAAACAAAATATCAAAAAATTAATATTGAAGTCAGGGAAAATAGAAAATTAATTTAGAAATGAAATACACGTACATGTACATGTTAAATGGTAAAAAAGGGGAAAGGGGAAAGCTTGGTCCTTAGACCAACAAAAACATATCACTTTTACTCGTATACTAGGCCTAGAGATCTTGCCATATTTGTATCTTCTGCATTCATTTAAAGTCTTTTAGGGCATCATTACTACATCTAAATCAAACTGAACAATTCTCCGGTGCGCCGTAACGTCATCAAAAGTCACCATTTTTCGCCTTAATATGTGTTTACCATTTTCCAATTTTGAATGCTCGGGAAACTGCCAAAAATTAAGCAAATGCTTTGGATTTTTCCAAAAGACTACATAATTGATACATGTAGTGGATTAAAAATATAATAATTTAAACGCTAATCTTTTCTATTTTATACTTTTATTTCGAAATGATACTCTTGTATTTTGTAATGAAACCTTGGTTTTTGGTTGTGCGCCGTAGGACCGTACCTTGTGCACATTCAAGTGTAATAAAATCTTTATTTTTGGTTTATATTTTACAAAAAATATGAAACATGAACTTAAATATGATATATAAACAGTTACTGAAAAATTCAGCTGAATGCGCCCATCATTTTCGAGAAAAACACTTTGTCCACGACTTTACCGGACAACCGTCGTACAAATCAATCATCTGATTATGGAATGACAAATGAAAAAAAAAATCGTGTATATCACTACCAATTCAAGGAATAAATCTGTTGTTAGATTTTTCACTTAAAAGTATTTAATTTTAAAAATACTACCCGAAGGTACACTGAAAAAAAAAACTTGTAAAAGTCACAAAGAAGACTAGTAAATTAACAATCCATACAACCACTACCTTAAAAGTAGTTTACTAGGTATTGGGTACATTAACTAGATAACATTTATGAATTTGTGAGTAACTTTCACCAGGTCCACTGCAGATGCGAATTTGTAAAAGCGTAAAATATACTGATACATACAGATAACAATTATAATCAACAAACCCCTTTTTATCCCATGTTTACGCCTTTATCCCGTGTAGGATATGATTTTCATATCCCAACAGTTATGTGCAGTTATGATGTCACAATGGTTTTTGCGTTAGCGTGATGAAGTAAATCAAAGTCGAGTCCAATATAAAAAAAAAGAGTAAAACCTTGCTTGTGAAGTATTATACATGGGATAAAAAGAATCTCCCATGATTTGTAGTTTGTTGTGTGTTTTTGTCCCCTCGCAATGGCTCGATGATAAAAAAAAATACACAACTCATTGGATAATATCCAACTACAAATCGTGGGAGATCCTATGTTTATGCAAAGGTGCAGCACATTTTATATGATTACCATTAATTACACATGTAAATTATAAGTATGTATATGGTTTGTCACAATTTGGTCTGTGATTCAGAAGTTTTCTTCGGTTTCAGTCAGTGCTCTCTTGGACCGTTCAGTCGTTTTTAAATAATTATAATCGAAGAAACTGAGGTAACCTCTCTTATCTTTCAAACCGGTGCACCACAACCAATCTTCTCCGTCAACAGAGAGAGAAGTAAGATTTGATAGGCCATCTTCCGGATAAACGACAATTCTTAGAAACTGGCCACCTATATCTAACATGTGAATGGAACCATCACTTTTGTTTGAAACTAAAACGTTGTTGTCTAGATCCAGACATGCAAACGCGGCTGAAAATGTAGCACAAGCAATGAATTGAATACTTCCATGGTACGAAAACACAAGGTTTAATTGTTGATCGTACACGTAGAGTGGAGTTTTACAAATCAATGCTACTTGTGACTTGCTATCTTTCAGGATGCAGAGTTTTGCAACTTCTGTACAATTACGATCAATAATGCGTTTTTGAATTGCAAAGACGTTTGCTTCACCTTTTCTGTTTAATCGATACAGCAATAATGAGTAAAACGAAGCATTCTTAGAGCGGCGACATTTTTCCATTAACATAGATATTCCTAATTTTTCATTTTCTACCACTGCTAGTATTTTTTCAGTAGGCTGTTGGACTGAAAACAGAGACATACATTTTCCGTTATGCAAAAATAGATTAAGCCCTGATCTATATTTCGTTATGAAAACGATACCACGATCTGACGAACTTCCAACACAACCGTCCACATTTTGAAGTACTTCGCGCACAGAATTATCATCAGTGGTTACAAAGAGCTTGTCGCCAACATGCACGAACATTTTTTCATCATAAAATAAAATTCCTTTTAGTTGAATTATTGAGTCAATGTTTGGTTTAAAGTGGGAAAAAATAATTCGGTTTTCTTGATCTTTAATTTTCCTTTTGCAAGAAAATATCTTGTTTACATGTGTGTCATACAACGGAGATTTTCTTTCAATTTGCCGATCTTCATCAGAAGACAGACCTAAATCATGCTGAACAACTATTTTACCGAGGAGTTCCTCTACGTGCCTTCTACTGCGACTTTTGACAGTTTCAAATGTAATAGTCATAGGTTCATGAATTTTCATTTCCCTTCCCAGCCTTCGTAGTTCACTATAACATTGTAATACTTTAATGCAGTTTGTTTCCCTCGTTGTGTCAAATTCAGAAACTTCTAATTTTTCTATTTCTTTCTTACTCTTTTGAATTTTTGCTTCACAATCAGAAACAGCATCAGATACAGTTTCCTTCAGGTGTTTCCCAATGTCTCTCACTTCCGCAATGATGGCTTCCTCTCTGCTGCTTATTTCCTCGATCAGTTTAATTTGCCTTTCCTGTAAGTTTTTATGCTTAGACCTGAGCTCATTTTTCATCTTTTCAACCATGGAATTTTCTCCATGCAAAGATGCCAGCAGTTCCCCATGCCGTTTCTGAACATAAACAGACGCATCGCATATTTTATGTTGTAAATGAGATGTTGTCATACACTTCATACAAACTGGACATTCACAGTCCTCACAATATATTGGCACAAGTTTTTTGTCGTGAGATCTGCACATAAGATAATTTGCACCTTGATCCATAGTGAACTTTATAGTTATACACACAATTCAGCTGGTGTTTGGCCAAACGGATGGGTGCATGCACACTCTGTTATTGATCGATTTTTCACAGAAGAGACTATATGGTTCTACGAAGTGTAAATCGTGAAATTAAAACATGTTACCATTCATTCTTTTCTTCATATAAATTCTAAAATAGTGTTGTTGAAATGCGGGAGGGTATATAGTAATCGGTACGTCCGTCCGTCTGTCTGTACGTCTAGCCGTCGGTTACGCTTTGGATACCTATCTCTTATCCACAACTCCTCTAATACCACTGAATGAAATTTGATGAAACTTTCAGAGAATCTTTATTACATATTGCCATCGTGCACCTCCTATTTTAATTTTTTATCCGACACATGTTTTGGGTTTCCCATAGCAAAACATAGACACTGCCATTATATTCATATGGGAGGCGGTTGGTATCAATACAGAACACGAAACACGCAACGAACGAACGTATCTCGACGATATTAACCGTATTACTAGTTTATGAATACCATCACTCGCTTTATATTTACTTTGTAATTATCAAAGGCGGATCCAGCATTGGGCGTGCGATCCCCACCCCCCCCCCCCCCGGGCCGTTTGATTTTTTTTAAAAATTGTCTGTATTATCTTAAAATCAACAGGAAAACACCTCTAATTTGTTAGAATTCCTCAGTTTCCGGGGGCTTCGCCCTCTTGGACCAGGGCTTTGTCCTTGACCCGCTTGGGGTACTTACCGAGACCTAAGGTCGAGGCCCTTTGAGTTCTGCATACTGAGTGGTGAGACGATTGATTCATTTCTAGAATTAATGAATATAGTTTTCTCATAAATTGAGCTGGATGGAAACATGAGAAATGGGCAGTTACTGAATTTAGAAAAAAAAATTAATGACATTCATATGGCTTAGGCATTTCCCAACTTATCCATTGCTTTCCCTATGCTTCGGAGCAAGTACATCTAGTGTAGACTACATTTTGAAGAAAACATGGTTTATGCTGTGGGACATATTGGCTTCAGAAATTCGCTGGCACAGTAGCAGAATGGTTATCAACGAAAGGTCGCTGGGACAACATGCAAAATGTACTTGGTGCCATAGATGGAACATCACATTAGATTTACATCCAACAAACGGAGCCTCAGCAGGAATTTTACAGTGGACACAGAAAATTTCACTGTATTCATATACAGGTAAGAATTTAAAATCAACTGTTTCCTTTATCTATAATGAACATTTGTAAATTACAATTCAAATTCATATGTATTTTAATGTTTATAACATTTCATGTAATGCAAAATAAAACCATCCTGTGTAAAGATGCATGTTTTACAGGTTATCATAGACAATGAGAAGTCCATTAGATATGTAGATTCGGGATTTCTTGAGCATGAGAACGATGCGCATGAATATGCTAATATCCCTGAGATAGGACCAGGACAAGAGCTTTATTTTCTAGCAGGATTTTTTATTTTAGGAGACAGTGGATATCCTCAAACTGAACCACTTGTAACTCCATACATGACATCATTTAACAACCACAAGATGAAAGACGTCGTCGACGAACGATAAATTTACGCCATCGATCAAAACGGGTTTACGCTGAGCATGTCATTAAAGATATAAAGAAGTTTAGGGTGATCGGTTCCCTATATCGACACCTTAGGGCGACTTCGATTCATACCCGAGTATTAACTCTTGGTTGACGTCACATGACAGGATGTTTACACAAACATGTGGTTTTCAAGCGAACTCATATGAGTTTGAAGGATAGCGAAAATAAAATAAATTTCCTCTAGCTATGAGTTTTAAAAGGCGGTCGAATAGGTCCATTTTGACATTGTCTGTTGAGTTAATGTTATCTATAGCTTTTGCTGCAGTTGAAATGTTTTTCTTTTTCAGCTCTGAACTTTTTTAGTTTCGAATTTGAACTTATGTCTCTGCTGTTATCGGGCAGTAAGCCTGAAAAATCTAATCAAATAAACATATATTCATATAAATTATAAAGCGTTCATGTAGAAAGTGCGTTTCGAAGTTTGCTTTTAACACGTTTAAGGATAAGCGATGCTAAACATAATATTTAGTAAAAAATAATTCCTACGTTCGGGTTTTTCTTTCGACGCCGCCATATCGAAACTCTAGTAATCCTACAGTATGGATGGGTTAGCTTGGGTAGAGTTCATAAGGTCATATGACGTATTTTGAGTAGTAACTTTGGTCGTTCGATTGAAACTCAAGTAACTCGAGTACGTACTCGGGTACGAATCGAAGTCGCCCTTAGTTAGGAACGTGCATCTATTGTTGAATTGTGCTCAGCTCTTGCAAAGCGTCGTTTTGATAATTGTTACTACCTATAAGACATTATCATAATAAACAAATGTCATCGTTTAATATAATATGGATCAATTTTCATTTACTGAGTATTATAAGTTAACCAAAATGAATCAATAAATACACGTAAGAGCTAATCATATGCATATATTTATATTATACTGATACATGGAACTGTGGAACACCAACGCGATTATTCTAATCAAATTTACAATTTTATTTTTCTATACGTGTGATTCATCCGTACGTTTCGTCAGTTACACAAGTAATCTTTGTGATTACCTGTGTAACTGACGAAACGAGTTTACCGTTCGTAAAACAGATATTCGTTCGTTACGTTTTTGGTGTTCTCTATTTAGTGAGCTCATTGCTCCCAGTACCTCTAGTTTAATCATGAATTCTCATACCCTATAATACGGAAATGTTAACTATTAATACTGATTACTTAATAAATACTAATCCGATCATGCATGAGAAGACTTGATACTATTGTAAGTATTGTTTACATACGTGAATCAAATTCACAAAAATGAGCAAAACATAGTTTCACAGTCGATTAAACTAGGTTTATCGGTTTTTATACGGAACTGTGTTTAACTATCTATACTTTTAAAGAAATGCTTGAACAATGAACAATTATATATATCAGATTCAAATTTAAATGAAAAACGAGAACTTCAATCTATAGCATGCGGGCTCAAACACTTCCAAATGGCGTAAAAAAGTACTCATTCTTTAAGAAAAAAAAGTATTTATGTATGTATTAAATTACAATTTTCATCAAGGCATTATGTTCATATAATGCGCAATACTTTTAGGACAATATCCTTGTATTTATTACTAACTACCAAGTATACCAAGCATAAAATGATGCATGAAATCTTGCAAAGGCATTGGATTTTTAGGGATAGATAACGTAATCTAACAGTGGCACAGGTTTTAAAAACTGATTTCACTATTTGTTTAAGCTGTTTTAATACCTCGTACAATAATGTAAATAAAGGATATAAAGCGTGAAGAATGTTCTTCCCCAAACAAAATGGAGGAATCAGAGGAATCTTCGGTTCACATTGGAAGCAGCGGGTCTCTATAAAGATTAACTTAAAGTTATCCTGTGAATGCATCATACATGTAAATACAAACTTTAATTTCAGACTGAGAAGAAATGAGAGAATAAGATCCTTTCATGATAATAGAGATGAGGAAATGAAGTCTGATACTAGCTGTAGAAATTCTTTCTTTCTCTTTCTTTCATATATTAAACGAAATCGTTTTCGCTTCTGACAGGAATTATGACTCCAGTGGAATTGAAAATCTTGGAAATACGTCATCAGCAAGATATTTTACGACTGTTACAAATTGTAAACCAGAAAAGCCATACGGATGTCAATGGTACAAAGTCTGCAAGCTCTAATGATGGACATGCTGACATGCAAAAACAACTGAAACGTTGAAAAAGGAAGTTGAAGACATTCGGAAAGAAAACCAGAAGATAATCGAAAAGAACTCTGACCTGGATCAGAAAGTAACGAACTTGAGCAAGACTGTCATTCTGGACGGTTTTCTTTGGAAAATTTTGAGAACGGGCAGCAAAGTATCCTAGAGCAACTAAATGAGGTCAAGGAAAATTATCGTTAATTAGCAGGGAAAATAAATAGAACAATAGGGTCTGTCAATGAAGATCTTTTATCTTTTGACATTGGTGATTTCCGTACTTATGAAACCCTTTAACCTTGGCCTATTTTCATATTTCACAATTGTATTTCCAGTAAGAATACCATACTTTTGGTACCAATATATTAAATTTGCATTTAAGAAAAGTTTCTTCTTCGCTATGTTGCCATACGGGGCCATCAATGTGTTTCACAAACACATTATGTTCATTTTAGCAACGTATAGAATACAACCTTCTTTCATGTTCCATTCCATATATTTTATGAAATATCCACTGGAACTCTGAGCAAGGGATCAGAATTTATTTTGGCCATTACTTACTTTTTACGTTTTAGGCTTGGAAAGGATATTCATATGCATGACATCGATCAATGTTCCTTATCCTATTTAGTTAAGAAAAATCTTTGATTTAAAACTTGACTTTGACAATATTTTATCTTTATTTTTGAAAGTATATATCAAAAACGTCTTTAAAAATACACATTTTTGATTAAAAAAAAACACAGAGCAAGGATCACATTACACTAAAATATATACACTTATATATATATGCAACATTTGTTTTCTTCTTAGATTAACCTTCACTAAAAAGCTTTCAATCTCACTTAAGCTTAAATAAATTTGAAATCAAAATCTAAAACTAAACATCTGAAATTTGTGACAAATTAATTTATTACATTTTAGTCCCATCTAAGTTCAAATTCTTAGTCACGATTGTTGATAATTTTCTTAGGTTTAGAATTCCCTTCAAGTTTTGAAAATTTCTTCCTATAATATCTAGATCATAAAAAATCAAAAATATCTCATTTTACCGCATTTTTATTTATCACATCTTATTGTTACAGTTATTAAACAAAATAAACAAATATATAGATGTTCAAAATTTTTTTTTTAGCTGAATAAGCTGATAAAGCGGATGATCCAATGGTTCCTAGAGTGGAATAGCTACACATTGTAGCTAGTTGCTTGCATAAACGAATTGTCGCATGA